CGCACTACATACGTAGTAAATGACGAGAATTTATAGCGTTTTGTCCACTAGCGCTTGTTATGCCAAAGATAGATTTATTTCTTCCTTGTGGTTGATGCAGGTGTTGCTGAGTTTGTATATGTATAAGGCATCAAACCACTTTAGATGCTCAATGTATGGTGTGTTGTGGATAATTCTCGCTTGGCTAAAATTCAGTTCTATCTCAGGATCACTTGTGTAAATACTTAGAGCTGTGATGGTCCTGGTGCGTTGTACGTTCACGATGTGTCTTTTACCCTAATGCTCAAGGAATGCTTTGTAGAGCCGATGTAGCAGAGCTTGCATCTGCGATCTTTCTTTGGGATGTTGTAGACTCCTGGGAGTCTATTCCTGCTAGGAATGTTCTTTCCATTGTGTAGGAAATCATAAATGGTTGGACATCTTCTATATGTGATGTGAATGCGGCGCTTCCTAGCTATCTGTGTAAACAGTGATTGAAGATATGGGTTATAAGTGACTGGTATCCTTTCTTCCTCTTGTCGGTCGTCGTTGCAGGAGTGGACTTTGAGAATTTCTTGGGAGCGGTGGAACTTTCTGATTAATCTTTGGGTAATATTGGGGTACCCCTGGTCTGAGACAATGTGATGAGTACATCTCAGTTCGTCGTGTAGAGCTTGCTGTGTGGAGGAGTGTGTGTGCTCTTTTAATTAGATTATTATATGCCACAATTTTGTATTGATGTGGGTCACATGACTCCATCGGTATATAGATTCTGCTTCCGGTTTATGATATACTTCCTTGTGGATTGTTGATCCTTCAATTCGAATGTTGATGTCAATAGAATGATTATATTGTCCACATATCTCCTATATAAAATGATGTTGGAGAGGTGATGAGGGAGGATCTTGGATTCTAGCTGTCTTATAACTAGGGTTTCTTTCCCGGGATCCCGTTTTCCTGGGATTCTCGCCGTTTATTCCCTACGAGAAAAATCCTGGGAAATTTTATTTTCCCGGGAAATCTCGCATTTCAATAATAATTTACTATGTCAGGTTTTCTTTCTATTATTTATTATATGAAAAGTTGCATTTTGAAGACTTGCCTAAAAGAGAAATTTTGAGGTTTCTTCCTGCATATTATTACCTATGCTTTACAAGTCTCTACTTGTTAGTTCATGTAATATCTATGTATTGTGTTTGCGCATCATTGAACAGCGGAGACTTGCTGAAAGTAAATATCACTCATCACACTTTATTTTTTATTTCATCTTTAGAAATAAATTAGTATTTTTTTCGTAATCATTAAAACTCTTAATGAAATGCTTTATTTTACTTTCATCTTATAATGTAGGAGAACATAAATTAATTGAGCCTAACCTGTCCGTATGGATGAGATTGGCCCTACACTTTTAGTTACTTACTAGAAAATAAATTAAATTATTTGAATTTATGATATTCCTGTATGATCTTTTTTATTCATATAAAATTCTATTTTACTATCTCATCCCGGGATCCCGGGAAAAGAAATTATTTGTCCCATAATCCCGCTGGAGGCAAATTTCCCGGGAAATGAGAAACCCTACTTACAACCATTTCACATAAGTCTCCCGAGATGGGGCTCCCCATTGGGACTTACCCAAAGATATTATATCATATTACTTGAAGATTAATCAGAAAGTTCCACCGCTTCCAAGAAATTCCTCAAGTCCACTCCTGCGACAAAGACCGACAAGAGGAAGAAAGGATACCAGTCACTTATAACCCATATCTTCAATCACTGTTTACACAGATAGCTAGGAAGTGCCGCATTCACATCACATATAGAAGGTGTCCAACCATTTATGATTTCCTACACAATGGAAAGGACATTCCTAGCAGGGATAGACTCCCAGGAGTCTACAACATCCCAAAGAAAGATCGCAGATGCAATAGAGAGCTCTGCTACATCGGCTCTACAAAGCATTCCTTGAGCATTAGGGTAAAAGACACATCGTGAATGTACAACGCACCAGGACCATCACAGCTCTAAGTATTTACACAAGTGATCCTGAGATAGAACTGAATTTTAGCCAAGCGAGAATTATCCACAACACACCATACACTGAGCATCTAAAGTGGTTTGATGCCTTATACTTATATAAACTCAACAACACCTGCATCAACCACAAGGAAGAAATAAATCTATCTTTGGCATAACAAGCGCTGGTGGACAAAACGCTATAAATTCTCGTCATTTGCTACGTATGTAGTGCACATGCATAGTAAAAATTCATCAGCTAGCGCATATTTAAATTTCGAATAATTTTCATATTTAATGACATTCTAACGGAAATTCATCATCGCCTGAAGAAAAACCATTGAAATTTCAAAAACGTTTGTGAAATTTTATTTTTTCATTTTTTGAAGTCAATTGCACACTGGTAACAGGCTTCGAGGTATGTAATTGAGTTGTTTTCAGTTAGTAAGGGAAAAATGAGGTTTTCATCCTGGAAATCTCTTAAAAATTGGAAATTGTTGGACACCCTGAGTGGTTATGTTTCGAAAAAGTGCTGTGTTATGCAAATCTGTGTTATACAAAAGAAAGGACTAATGCAAAACATAGGGTTAGGTTCCAAAAGTTAGAAAAAGTATGCTATTATTTTCATTACTAGAGAAACATGTTTAGGAATAAATTATTGATTGCTTTAATAATTAATTAACAATCATAATTAAAAATACTGTATTATGCATTAATATTACTTTTAGTTTAATGAAAGCATTTTCTTTTTACAAAGTATTGTCATCTTCTGAGCTGCTTTGTTGATCTTGATTTGTTGAATCAAGATCAACAAAGCAGCTCAGAACAACGTCATTTTTTTATTTTTACCATACATTTTTTATTCATGACAAAAATAAAAATATGTTATTAATTGAAAATTTGTGCTAGCAGGTCATGTTTGGCCAATTGAGGACCAAGCAATTTTTCTTTTTTTTTCAAAATTTGTGTTCAAACACTGAATTGTTTGAGTTGGGAACAATTTTACTATCAAGATATCACTGTATTTTGTTTGTCATGTTTACAAATGATTACTTACCTAATTTAAAAAAAAATTAATAGCAATTATCTGAAAATGTTTAAATAAACTTTACTAAATATGAAGAATAATTTATAAAAACGAAACACAAAACACTGTGATAGTCTTAAAAGCTAAAATCTGAAAGTAACTACAATGACACCTGGTTGACAAGAAAGCTAGGACAAGGAATAAAAAAATTGCATTATTAGTTTTCATTAAACCTGATGAAAGGCACAAAATAAATTTAAAAAATTCAATATTCTAAAGTTTGTAGGTATATTTGTGATAGCATTCATACTTACTTGAATAATAAAATATTGAGTAAAGGAGTTTGCTCTTAAAAGTTGCGAAAGTTTGTATGGAGTTTGGGCGTTTGTCCCAAATTCTTGAACTACATTAGAGTGAAACCATGTTGTACAAGTGTCGCATTGTATAAGAGATACTTGTATACATTGTTTGTTCTTTATTATATACATACATACTTAATGTACTACTGTAATCAAAAAGTATCTGGAATGGTTCATTTAAACTGCTTGCATTCAAGAGAGAAGTGTTGTCATTTTTTGTTTTTTGGTTTAACATGCGGATTGCTGCTAGATGTCAATGGATCTTCATTGACATCTAGCAGCAATCCACATGTCATCATCTGTTTTCATTTGCAAATAAATGCTTGTTTTTTGTGTAAATAATTTTTTCACTGGCAATTTTTCAAAAGATTGAGTATAATTGAGCAAAGAATGTGCATTAAATTTTATTTTCTCAATGGAATTACTGCTATAAAAATGTTGGAAATGTTGCAAAAAGCCTTTGTTGATGATAGTCTATCAAAAATAAGAGTGGCACAAGATGTTTGCAGAAGACAGACATCTCATTGAAGATGAACCACACTCTGGTAGACCATCCATTTCAACTGATGAACAAGATGTTGCTCGAGTCAGAGATTTGATACTCAATGATTATCATTTAACAATTGGAGACATTATTGAACATGTTTCAGTAACATTTAGATCTTGTCAAGCAATTTTAAAATATTATTGGGGCTTATGGTACATTACTTCTTGAGTCATCCCAAAAAACATTGAATTTTTTCCAAAAACAACATGATCAAATCACCGAGGAAATACTTTTTCAAGGCAAATTGTTCTTAAAACATGCCATTACGGGTGGTAAAGTATGGATATACACTTTTGACATCAAAACGCTTAACACTTGAGTGAATGGTACTCGAAAGATGAAGCAAGACTAAAAGAAGACTACATCAAAGTCAGTCAAAATTAGGGTTGTGTTGAATGTTTACTTCAATTTTTGTGGTGTTGGGTATCATGAATTCCTACTGATTGGCCAAACTGTCAACAAAGGATATTATTTCAGTGTTGTGTACCATTTGTTTGAAGCAGTTTGTAGAAAACAATCCTATTTGTGGTAAAAACTCATGGATTTTGCACCTGCTCACAATGCTCTTGTTGATAAATTTTTGACTTAAAACTCAACAAATATGATTCTGCAAATTCCATATCATATTCATTTGATATAGCACCATATCACTTTTTCCAATTTCCTCAACTAAAATTTGCACTTTGTGGTTACTGTTTTAACAGTATTGATGTCATAAAACAAAATTTCTCCGAGTCTGAAGGGATTTCATGTAATTGACTTGAAAGCATGTTTTGAGAAATGTTGACATAAGTACATTGTAGTGTGAGGGGATTACTTTGAAGGGGATGAAATAAATTTTGATGGATAAATTCAAATTGAACCATTACTAATACTTTTGGTCACAGAGGTATATGTATACATACATATGTTAAGAATTTGTTCATATGTAAGTGTTTTGTTTCTTCATTAGTATATGTTTGGCTGTATACATATGCACATTGTACCAGATAATATCTAAAACTTATTCTTAGTCTGTTGTATCATTTTTATTGAAGATTTACAATTTGTAAATTTAATTGGTTAAATTCAGGTGCAGTATCTTCTGACAAAAAATGTTACAGTCAGTTTAATACACAAGGAAGTATTAATGGAAATTGTGGTGTAGATCCTTATATTAAAGGAGCTTATATTAAGTGTACAAAAGAGTAAGACAATATCTTTCCTTAATTACTATTATTTATTATAAAAATATTATTATATATAATTTATATAAAAATAACGTTAAACAATTTTATAGGAATTCCTTATGTGGATCTCTGCAATGTCAGCAGGGCACAAGAAATCCAATTGTGGAAGAAATGGAAGATCAGTATTCACGCACAATAGTTTCCATCGAAGGAAAAGAATTTGAGTGCAAGTAAGTGATAATGTTAAATTTAAATTTTTTGTAATTTCCAAAGAAAGTACAGTATATTTAATTAATTATCATTATTCTAGAGTTGCCAGTGGATCAATTGGTGGAATTTCCGATATGGGAATGGTTATAGATGGTACCAAGTGTGCCGAAAATAAAGTAATGTTATGCTTAATTATTATGTAAATAAAAAAATCTCAGATAATTTAATTGGCAACTACTTTTTATGATAGATATGTGTCAATCAGACTTGTGTCAACTTAGAACAGTTCATGGAGCCAGGAAACTGCCCTACTAACAATGTGGCCCTTATGTGTTCGGGTCATGGCGTAAGTAAGTTTTAAGATTATTATTTTGTATTAGCCTTTTAAAGACATTTTGTGAGTTTTGATTACAGGTTTGCTCAAATCTCAATACGTGTTATTGTGATAAAGGATGGGTTTCGAGAGATTGTAGCCAACGTGTGAGTGATTTTTATCCAATTTCTGGAAAAGGGATGCCCGAAATATACACTACAGTGGCTCCCGTTTCAGAAACAACTCCGTATTGGAAGAAGAGCATTGTTGCAAAAACAACTCCTTATGGTAAATATATATATATATAATTATATAATTATTCAGTGTGTTTTTTATAATAATTATATATAAAATTATTTCAGTGAAATGAATTTTTGTTGTTGTGTTAGATAATTATTGTGTGCTAAAATGAATAATATGTAAGAAAAGCTTTATTGGTTTAGGTTTTGATATGTAAATATTACTTTATAGTGAAAATACTTTGATAAATGTCAATATTAAATTTAAAAATAAACTCTGTATGTAGTTGTAATATTGAGACATGATAAGTTCAGAAAAGCACTTACAAAAATTCAGAAAACAGAAATCAACTAACGCACAAAAAATTATGTAAATGTGATGCCTGGACAAAATTTGAAATTTGGTGTTATAACATTAACAAATATCCGATTGGACAGTTAAACTCTCACCTTTTGAAAATAAAAACCGAAGCAAAACTTAATGAGTGCCTGACAATCTCATGAAGAATATAGAAAATTCTTTGTCAGGAAGGTAAACAAAAGACTGGAATACAAGGGCGAGTTCAAAGTTTGGAGGAATACTATTCAATTCTGTCAGTATCTGGTTGAGCTTCGATGTCAACATCTCTTGTGATTTGAAAGATTTCAAATTGTCACCTGGAGACAAGGAAAGACCAATCAGTATTTGTTATTTTACATTGCTGCTGCTTGTGTTTGTTCTGTGAGGTGTTCATCATCCGAACACGTGTTTGTTGTCCAAACATAAAAATCTGTAGCGAAAGTGCTCATTGTCTGATTTGTGCATTAAGTAATCGCTCACTGTATAAAATTTTAATTTTATATGAAAAATATAAGAAAAATTTTAATTTATAAACCAAAATAAAGAAAAAGAAGATAAACATGGAACATCAGAAGTTGTGTAAATAATTTTATGTACATGTCCTCAGCCAACTGTTATGTAGGAGAAATGAAACAGCAGTTACAAAAGAGAATAAAAGAACATAAAGCATCCATTAGATTAAAAAATAAAGATTTACCATGGTTTCAACATTGTATTAAAAAGAACTGTAAGATTGATAAAAATAATATTGTGCTATTACATAAAGGAATAGTGATGGATGCATGCTGGGATAAGATAGCATGGTATAAAGTGCCACAGCTATTTAGATCAAAACTTTTTAAAATACAGTTTTGAAATTGTATTTTAAAGTTTTGATCTAAATAAATGTATTGAGAATTTTAGTGTCTTAGTATTTTATATTATTTTTAATGTCTTAGTATTTTAATATATACAAGGTCTGTTCAAAAAGTATCGGACCTTATTTTTTTCCGCGTAAACCAATGATGCGAGAGAGGCCTCCTTCGGTGGAGTTGTGGAGGGGAAAGTCATGCACAGCCCTGAATTTTTTCCCGCCTGCAGAAAGCGTCAGTCGTTGGCAATCGGCGTATGAGTGAGGTCATGTAGTGCGCTCTCGTCGGATTTCACTAAGCTGGAAAATGACTGAACAACGTGAGCAGCGATATTACATCAAATTTTGCCAAAAACCTTGGCGATACCCAAGTGTAAACCATTCGCAAGATTCAGCAGGCTTTCGGGGACGATCCTCGAGGCCAAAAAAAGCGCGGCAGGTCCGCAGCAATATCAAAAGTCATGTTGACAGTTTTTTCGACTTTCGTGGGGTGGTGTGTCGTGAGTACGCACCACAAGGCCAAACCATCCCAAAGGAGTACTACCAGGAGGTCCTTCGTCGTCTTTCCGATACAGTGCGATGCAAACGATGGGATCTGTGGTCGATCAAAATTTGGCAGCTCCATTGTGATAACGCATCCGCCCATTCTGCGCATCTGATTCGGGCTTTCGTCGCCAAACACAATACTCCTGTGGTTCGTCACGCTCCGTACTCTCTCCACATGGCTCCGTGTGACATTTGGCTATTTCTCAAGCTGAAAATGCCGCTAAAAGGAACCCAAATTAGTCGAGAGAAGACATCATGCGAAATGCGACGGACCGGCTGATTACCATTCCAAAAGATGCGTTCCAGCAGTGTTTCCAGCAATGGCAGAAACGCTGGGAGAAGTGTATACATTACCAAGGAGACTACTTTGAAGGGGATTAGGGTTTTGTTCCTCAAAGTCAATAAATTTATTTTTGCCGACCAAAGGTCCGATACTTTTTGAACAGACCTTGTAGATTAATCCTTATAAGTTAGTATAGATTGAGTAGTTTAGCTCAAGAAGGATTTTTCTTGTAAAAATTTTTAAATTATACATAGAGTCAACCCCATTGAAAAAAGCTTTTATTAGTATTCTTATGTTTATGTTGTGACACAAATTATAAGTTGACAGAGTTATTTAATATATGAATGATTGAAGACAAATCACTCAGAATGAAAATACAACATTAGCAAATATCCTTTAGTGAGTTGAGTGTCCTTCAGGCACATTGGTGCAGCTAATGCTTAATTTAATTATGAATTTTTTCTATTATTTTTATTACAAGTTACAGTCAAACTTTAATTTACCACTATCATTTGTTTGCCTCTTAAATTGATGCTGAGTAGCATGATGCTAAACTGAAGGACCTTTCAAAGTTAAATAAGTAATGAAGTCTATAATTGGGTTTGTGTTTGAGAGTTAAAAAACTGCATAATTGGCAATAACAGTCATTTTGTAATGAAAAATCATGCCTTTAGTAATTCCCAGGTATAAAAGGATTCTGTATTTAATGTTTATAAGGAAGATCTATTTGTGAACAATTGTTGGCACATCAAGAGTAGTGCTCTATAGGAGGGTGCTATATTGAGATTTGTTGAGGTATTATACAGCCCATGTTGTGATAAATACTTATTCCTTATCACATCTTACATAAAGTTCATTTTATATTTGAATCCAACAATCATATTACTGGACTACTGTCCCTCTTATTATTCTGTTAGTTCAATGGTCTACAATATTAATCTGTTTTGAATATACTATAGAAATAATTTTATTAACTGTTTATAATACATTTTAGTGTATTTTGTTTCAGTGGGAAAAAAAGCATCTATAAGTGCAACATCATTAGTCATTGTTCTTGTTACCATTGTCGGTGGGGTCTTCATGTTTTTTACATTACTTGCTACTTGTTACAGGTATGATTTCAGGAGGAAAAAGTTTTGTTAATATATATAAATAATTGATAAGGAGTATCAATATAATTTAAAATTTATAACCTATCGAATCTTTAGACGCCACAGTTTACTGCCAAAAAGAGAATCATCTCATTTTAAGAAGCGTTTAACCAAAAAATTTGGTATTACAAATAAAAAAGATGAAGAATCACAAGAAAACGTCAACAGAATAATAACTTTTGGAAGTATGCCTTCGTACAGGTGAGAAAATTTTTGATAATTTTTGTATTGACAACTTTAATGGTTACTATAATTCAGTAAAATCTTGATTTAAATTTGTCCTGGCAATATTTTTAAATAGATTTATTTATACTTTTATCAAAATAAAACATTACTTGACACTATATGTAGCAATACATTAATCAAAATTTTATTTTCACTAGGCCTACACCTTGTAAGTATTTTACTCCTATGGATTTATAGGGATATTCATTATTAAACAATGGAAATGCATTGTCTTATCATGTCTAACTCATTAACATCCATCCACTCAGAACCTCTTGCATTGCATTGCCGAATAAAGCATTCCAAACAAATTCAAAAGTTGTTTCCTCCAGTCCATAAGAGGTTGATGGCCAGATGATCTAGTGGTCTAGGTGGCAGCCTACTGCACTGGAGCCTGGGATCAAATCTAGACGAGTCGAAAAATTCCCAGGTGTTTTTCAGTGTGGTCCATTAGGATATGTCAGGCCCTATCCCTCACCATCCAGCTGCAACCACTGTGGGCCTGGCCGAACCCATAATGGGTTTGCAAAACAAGGCCCTCTTAGTGCCCACAGGGCAGAAAGAGTTTAAAAAACAATTTAGAAAACATAGTGTCACTTCTTTATATTTCTCTTTCATTCATAATATTCTGAAAATAAACTTTGTTTATTGAATGCTTTAAAAAAATTATTATAAGCAAGTTAACATAATAAATAACTGCTTAACTCAGTCCTGTACTCTTACAGATATCAAAGTTTTGTGTATACGAAATTACCTTCTTTAACTGAACAGATCTTAGAGACATACATCCTATGACTTCATAGCAACATCACAATTTCATAACATCACTTATCATAACATACTTTTGATTTCAGACTTATAAAACAAACTGATGTCATTTGTAACACAGTGAGAATGTAACATGTAAATTCCATATTATTAAAATAGCAGAAATTGTATCGATTACTTTAATGTGACCATATCAGAGTATAATGTATTATCAGCCACAGTAAAGTAACTCTATGATATACAGGGTGGTTATAAATTATTGAGCACATTTCAGGGAGGAATGAAAAAGAACACAGTAAAGTATTCAATGCTTTGATATCAGCAAAAGATGGACCAACTTCTTGTTATAAATTTCAACCATCCTATAGCTATCATCAGTAACTGTCTAATGTAAGTCTAGGGACAGTACCAATACTCAGTGTTTTAGCCAATCATATGCTCTCTGTAAATGACTCGTCTCCCCAGTAGTTTTGTCACATGGTCTAGAGTACTAATGAACGCAGTTACTATACAGTAAAACCTGCAAAAGCCAGAATCTGAATAAGGCTGAAACCTTCCAGAGGTGGAAAGTTCAAATATTTTTCAGTAAAATGATTACATTAATCTAACAAATGCTGAATGATGTCTGAATGCCAAAACCTGAGAGACACAGATGGAATGAAAAAATCGTAGTATTGCAACCAAATATGGGAAAGTATAGATTCAAAGCTGGAAACTTGTGTGTACTGTATTTTTGCATTACATCCTACGTAAGCATAATCATCTCATTTATAATGGTGATTCCTTTTTGAGGTTGGAAACCTCTCAATGAAACAATCTTGTGGCTAGAAACAACCTCTGTTTCAACTGCTTAACTGATTGCTATAAACTATCCAATTGCAACTCCAAGAACTTGTGTAATATATACCGAAAGAGACATAATACATTATTCTGCAGAAATAAAGAAACTGTGACTAGCTCAAAGATACCAATGGTCGACAGCAGACCAATTCCATTCAAGCAGGATCTTAAATCCAATGCAGTAGTTTTGGAAAGTGTGCATCACTCATTACCATGCATTGAAAGGGAAATAAGACCGTGAATCTCGACAGCCATGGTTTGGGTTTTAAATCATTCAACCAGAACCAGTATTCAAGCATGCGCAGTGTCATACTCAGGCGGTATGTCAAATATCGCCACTAAAGATTTCGCAAATTGATTGGGTACTCCGCAAGAAAGAATAGATCTCACAGTTTCTAGTGTAAGTGTAAATAAAACCACGATCAAATCTAAGTTGACTGCTACAATAATAAATGGCAGCGGATCCTTTTCTGAGATGCTAGAGTTTATAATAGTGCCAAAGATCATGTATTTGCTCCTTGTTTTCACTTTAAATATTAGCAAGATAGAAATCCCACGCCAGTTAGCTGATCCAAGATTTTCTTCACCAGGCAAGGTTGATGTGATTATTTCAATCCATTGATTAGAATTAAGCTTGTCTCATATTGTCTCAACTGATCTGCAAATGGGCATAACTGAAGTGATCTTACACAACTACTTGTATGGGTAAATGTAATCTATATGATGTCTGTTGTTTGTCTTTGTATTTCATGTTTTTCACCTATATTTTGTGATACATGATTGGTTGTAAGTGTACAATTGATGTTAACTGTATCATGTGTGTGGTATGCTTATGTAAAACAAATTAATCTCATATATGGTAAAATATTATAATTATATATTTGTAATTATACTATTTTTTATATAATCTCAGTTATGTCTAGCGGTATTAAGATAGACAAAAAAAGAATTGAATATGTTGTCTTAAAGGATGAGAATTTCCTTTAAGAGGACACAGTTAAGAGCTAGTCACAATTTCTTTATTTCTGTGGAGTAATGTATTATGTCTCTTTCGGCATATATTACAAGAGTTCTTGGAGTTGCAATTGGATAGTTTATGCTTTATGGCGATCAGTTAAGCAGTTGAAACAGAGGTTGTTTCTAGCCACAAGATCGTTTCTTTGAGAGGTTTCCAACCTCAAAAAAGAATCACAATTATAAACAGGATGATTATGCTTACATAAAACGCAAAAAGGCATAGGATTGTTACATTTCAAGAACAGATTTTTTGATTTAATTTGATCTTGATAACATCTGCTTTTACTAACGTGGCCTTATTAACATTTTCTAAAATTTGAGAACGTTTTTCCAAAAATGAAATCAAGTTATTTAGCTTAGGAATCTCATTAGAACTCATACTGTTTTAGAGTTTCCTTATCCAACTTCTGAAGTACAATCTTTAAAATTAAGATATCGGAAAGCTTATTCTTTCATATCCTAGAACTTGGTGGAGCTCGAATATTCTTATTGACGCTATCTGTGAAATTCCTCAAACCTTTCCCGATTCGTAAGCTAGCTTTAGTGTCCAGAATTTCATTGACATGGGTTTTTACTATTAATTTTTTGTTTTTGTATCTTTCTTATAGAGCTTAAAACAGTGAAACGAACGAATCGTATTGCGTTTCTAAGCCTTCAGCCTTCCCTATTAGCGCAACCTTCAAATAACGTAGTTTGTTTCGGTGATAGTTGATCGTTTTTTGACGAAATGTTGTTATTAAATTGCATTTTAAAGTTACTCCATCCTTCATATCTTGCAGACAATTTAGATAAGAGTATCTCCGGCAATTTAATATTAGAGGAGTTATTTCCAGTTCGGCGACTTGTTCCATCATGCTTGGAAGTATTTGTTTCTAATCGTTTCACACGAGATTGGATCTTAAATTTACAGCCTCCTGTTCTTCACTATTGACTATCTAACTGTCATAATCAGCTGGGTTAGTAATGAAACCTTCGATTTCCTTATTTAAGGTTCACAGTGACACTTCCTTTCGACTCAAGTAAAAGGGTTTGTCTCTCTATCTTCACTTTCTACTAGATTATCGACTTTACTAATTAATTTGGTTACACTAGTTCTGACTAAAGCCCCTTTTTTCTTTAATTTTTCGAGTTGATCTATTTTAAAACAATCTACAACGTATAACGACAGACGAATTCCTCCTCTTGTACTTTCCAAGGCGATGACGCCACTTAACGAAGTTTGAACCAAAATTTGATTTGCTTACGACGTTGTTCCTTCATCTATCTATCCGTCTCGACCTTTAATGGATCAAATCAGAAAAAGGGCACACAATTGCGGTATGAAAGTATAACTCTATCTAAAAAACGCTGCGGAAAGAGAACCTTTACACCAACCAACTCTCGAACGCTTTTTAAATCTTTTACAATTTTGATCGCTACGGATATGCGGTGGCACTGGAAATGCCAACAGGGCCATTTGCTAAATTCGTTACGGTTTTCATTAGTCGGCCGGCAGCGGCTTAAAATAAGAGATTTGTAAGTTTAAGAAAACACTAAGACGCATTAGATGGAAGTTAAAATTCGCCGAGCGCCATCCATTACCAGATACTTTTTTTATATTATTAATTATAAAACAGAAAAGGGCGTAATTTTGGGGACGGTAAAGAGTATTTAAAGATACGGTAAATTCCAATAACTAGTAAAATTTTCGTCAAGTCCATCCCCCACGGGAGAGGGCACGTACCAATCCTCGACTTTAACCGTCAAAATTTAACAGGACGACATAGGTTTAGAAATAATCCCGCCAAGTTTGAAAATTTTGGGTGATTCGGGACGCCATAAGGTTTTTCTTATGTTTGGAGTTCCGGAGGGTGGTCAAGCAGGGATGAAAATTTGATCGACGGCCGTACTATCCCCCTATTACAGTATAACAGCCGAGGAAGTAAAGGATTAATTATCGCTTTTGGTAAATTACGTCGACCGGGTACAAACGATTAATTGTCAAACCGGGTATTTCACGCGATGGGGCATAACTTTTTACTAACTTCATATCAACATATTATTTCTGTAGCGTGAGTAGGGGGAAACGGAAGATAATTGTGCCAACGGGCAGACAATTGAAAACGATTTTTGTACCGAGGTAAAGAGGTGGAATTTGTTGAGAAAGAGAGAGTTGGGAGATTTCCTCTCGGGTAGAAAAAGGTAACGGAAAGATAGCCATTAAAATGGCCCGAGGCCTACGAAAGGGTCGAAGGTGACAACGGTAAACGATGGGAATTATTTCGAGGGGTGGTGCGGACAGGTAACGTTCTGATCTTTTAAAAGTGAAGGAGTAAAGGCCGGTCCCTTCCCTCTTCGTCTCCGTCGGGAAATAAGCCGCCGGTCGAACACCTCCGCTTCCGTCTCCGTCCGCCGTGGGATATTTTAGCGTCACCCCCGGAAAATTTAGTCCCTTAAGACGTCGGATGTGCGGGAAAAAATTATATTTTTACGCAGTTAAATAAAATTCCGCCTTTAAAGTCGACGATTGATTGTTTCCAAACGTTTACGGAGATTTTTTAAAAATAATCGTCGGACGGAAAAAACTGGGGAATAGCTACGGGTCCCTTTACCAAACGAAGGTTACTTTTAACGGAATATAAAACTGTCCTTTTTTTTGATTAATGAAAAGAACGTTAGAGGCCTTTCCTTCCTTTACAAAGAAAGATACGGGGACAAGATTTCTCCTCCGGACGCCCTAAGCCGGATGGGGTCTGCCTAGGTGACCAAAATTTCAATTTTCACGGAAATTTTTTTAGTCTAGACCAGTGTTTCTCAACGGGGACGATATCGTTCCCATGTGGGCGTTTTTCCATGTTGAGGGGGCGATTAGTAACAATTTATATTTTGGGGGGCGAAAAACAATTTTCTGGGCGATATAGTAAAACATTATATTAAGAATAATTAGATATTTTATTCGTTATATCGTACAATAATCAAACAAATAACATTATACTAGTCACTAGTCTATTCAATGCAATACGAATTTGGCGTTAGTCTTGGCCCTCGGCATCGGAATTTTGTAGTGAAGGGGGCGACGATTCATTAGAGGTTAAGAAACACTGGTCTAGACCTTCGACGGCCAACCTTTTTCGGTCCGCGTGCCATGTTAAAGCATACATCGCTTTAAAGATGTTTTGTTGTGCCAAAGTTTTAGACTTCGAATAACGATATTTAAATAAGTTAAAGGAATACGCTTTAATTAGAATAAATGTAAAAAGGCTAATTGAAACGAGCGATTATTTATAGTGACGTGTCACAATACCAGGCTGCAATTTTTAATCATATTTTTAATTTATTTAATTTAAAACACGCTCTCCATCTCAAATCAGTAGTGTCTTGCTCCCGTACATCATACTTTTCCTTTAACAAGTCATCTATTTACTGGTAACACCTTTCGTGAAAATTTTTTGAATTGAAAAACGTGACTTTTGGTTTGCATGGGAAGTTAGTACTGTATATACGAGGGCGGTTTTTCACCTCCGAGAGTCCATAAAACAAAGACAAGTGTAAATAACAAAATGAATTTATTACTAAAAGTTAGGTACAAACATGGTTACTTTTCGACATAATCACCGTGAAGATTGGGGCATTTGTCATATCTGTTGGCGAGCTTCGCATTCGCAATCCCCTCTTTATAGAACGTTGCCGCCAGTGACTCGAGAAGGGCCTTAACATTGTTTTGAAGATAGTCATTAAAATCTCGAACCTCTGCCCTCCTAGCCACGTTTTCAGTTCAGGGAAGAGGCGAAAGTTTTCATACGTTAAAGGTGTGTGAAGACTTCCTCCCAACTTGGAACTTTTTAAACACCAAGTGTATAGCACCGATTTAGCGCCGAGTGACTTCCACCTCTTTCCTGAACTGAAAACGGGCTAGGAGGGCAGAGGTTAGAGATTAATGATTATCTTCAAAACAACGTTAAGGCCCATCTCGAGTCACTGGCGGCAATGTTTTATAAAGAGGGGATTGCGAATGCGAAGCTCGTCCACAGATATGACAAATGTCCCAATCTTCACGGTGATTATGTCGAAAAGTAGCCATGTTTGTACCTAACTTTTAGTAATAAATTCATTTTGTTATTTACACTTGTCTTGGATCATCGGAGGTTGAAAAAAACCGCCTGCGTAGTTAATCGGAGCCTCTCCTAAGGTTTCGTATCTGGTCTCGGGTTTCATCTAACTTCGATCTTGAGATTAAGGAAAGACGGACAGACAGACGACAGTGGGAATTTATAGATCTACAATTTTTTTTCAAATTGCAGTCCAAAGAGGATGATGGGGTGATACGCCGAAAGGACGATTGAGCCTTTACTTCCGTTCCTCCAGCGTAGCCTTACGGCAGACGGGCGGGTGGGTGGTCGTTGGCCCTGCGTATTATCCCGGGAGGTAGTTACCCCGCGGAAACAATACCGTCCATCTGTAGTCCGAGGGTTGACCGACGGATGAAGGCCGGGTGGAAAACCACCATCGTGGAGGACGGCCTACCCTCCCCCGGTATAAAAATACCCAGACCGTAGTCGAAAATTTAATCTAAGTAGAGGCCAAAAGGTGGGAGTAACAAAAACGAAAAGGAAAAACTTTCTTGTGTACAGTACATTAAATCAAGATTTTACCGTAATTAAAATACTGTAGAATAAGATAGATTTTATATTAATGTTTTTCCGTTTAGTCGATAAGAATTTACTTTTATACCGTTTTAATTGATTTCATGTTTTCTTCTCTTATTATTTATAAATGTTTATAATTTTAAATAAAAGTTTCCTTTCAAAGTTTGATTTGTGGTTTTTTTTTTTTGTTTTGGAATTAATTTCTTCACTTTCTTTGTTGTCAAATATGGACTTAAACTTTTCCTATATTTTATATCGTTTCGTTGGGTGCAGAGATAAATGCAAACTTTTCTCCCGCGTAAAGGTCGGGTGACGGGAAAGTCCGCACCCTTTCCCTTTCCCTTTACGGTCCGGCTTCCCCTTTCTTCATACTTGGACGAAGATGGTGCCCGGGAGTCGATCTCTTCTTTCCGGACCTCCACGGACTTTGCGGCGTCGTTTCCCCAGCCTCCGGCTCCACGAAAAAGACTGGTTTAGGACTGGGGGAAAAGGCGACGGAAGACAGACGTTTGTAAACTGCCTTTTAAAATGTGCCGAATAAAACGGAGTCGGCCCCTCTCCCCGTCCATCGGCGTATATACCTTAGCAAAAAGGTAGGAATGCTGGCGGGCTCCGTTACTTGCCGTTGGATAGCGAGAAAGGTTTCGGTTTTGCAATTAACTCTGCACCGGTCCTTATTTTTTTTTTTCCTCCCAATATTTTTAAAAGGTGCGCATTGTTCCTTGGTCGTAATCGGTAATTAGGTAAGTCTGGTCGGCCGTTTACCTTTAAAGTCGTTAGTAATTACGGAAATTTTTCCTCCCTTTTCTAATAAGTCTCCCCGTCCCATTCATTAATCCGGAAGAGAAGAACGCCGGAAGCACAAAAACTACTCTCCCGCGGCCGTTTTACTTTCCGTCTTGACGCTTCCCTCCCTGCGAAAATCCGTAAAGGAAGGCTTTCTCGGCGGTTTCCCATGTCCGACCTCTTTCTTACCTGCCAACCAATTTCGGTACCGTGGAGGCGGAAGGCCCTGGCCGGGTCGAATACTGCCCGGATGCCGGAGCCACAGGTAATCTCTTAACCTTTATACTTATTCGTCGGACCCGAGAATCGGTTTATCGACGCCCGCTCGGCCCTAGGAAATTCCGTTTGACGTGAGCGGTGGGAAGAGTGTGAAGCTGTTCCCGGTTCCGAAAGACCGGAGGTCGGCTAAAGGAGGAGAGAAGGACTCGTCGTTTTCCGGTGGTCTTCGTGGGTAAAACGTTTATATCAGAAAGGAGGAAGAAAAGTCGGGGAAGCCGTTCGTTCGTTTTCTCTTCAGTCGACGACGGAAGAATTTTATTTTCGGAGGAGACCCCGGAGAAATCGGCCGTCCGTGCCCACACGGATTCTCTCCGTTTTTACTTCCTTACTGGTAGGCTACGTTCCGAAAATTCCCTAAAGACAGCGACGGGAAAATAGTACCCGGCCGGGGGAAGTCTTGCTTTCGTCGGTTATCTCCCCTTTCTTAATATGAAATTGTATTTTTACCCACCGCTCTCTTCGTTAAGACGTAGACCGTGTCACGGGGTCCCTGACCTTCGGCCCGACGGGAAACCCTGCTTGCTTTGGCGCCGGACGAAGTAAAGGCTTAAAGGGGACGGCGGTGGTCCGAGCATCGGACCACCGCTGTCCCCTCCTGGAATTTCGGCGCCACAACTTAACGTCGGCCTCGGCCCCCGGCGGGATCCCGTCTCGTTTGGGGTGGGAGCGAAATCTGTCATTTTTAAATCCTCCGCCCGGGTTAACGAACTTTCGGACGGTCCGCTAACGTCAGGTTAAAATTAATGTCGGGAAAAGGAATAAAGATTAAATTCCTTTTCGACCGATCGAGGAAATGAAAGTGCGAGAATTACTAGGAAATAACGAGGTTAAAATTTCCGTAAGTATTCTAATTTTAGAAATGAAAATTAGAATTAAAATTTTTATTATCTAAATATAATTTGAGTATATTTAATTTTATGTGTGATAAATGAACTGGAGTTGTATTTGCTATGCTTTATGGTACGTACCTGTACAATCCGTGTGTACAGTACCTACGATCGACGTCGGGAAAAAGTTAGAAAAAAACAAAATTAAATTTTCTTTGAATTAAAAAAGAGAAAGAAACGAGAAATTTTGGCAGTTAAAAAGAAAAGAAGGCAAAGTTGTTAAAGATTTATTTAGAAATAGATATTGTAGCTGATGCAAGCAGGGTCACACCCTGTTCAATTTTCACGCATTCATTAGGTTTGATGTTGGTCAAAATTCTGAGACAAACTGAAGCGCAACAGGCGGGATTGACTTCTCTGTGACCCCATGTCCTGCAGGGAAGACAAATTGCAGGAGTTGAGGCGTCAGCGTCGAGAAAAGGATTCGGAAGAAGGAGAGGAACGAGAGCCCACCGACGAAACTTCCACTTTCATCGAAGTGTCGTCGAACGACCTGTCGAAAACACCCGAGAAAGGAATACTGAAACACCAGGAGAAAGACAAGTGGAGCGACGAAGCTTCTCAGTCGGACAACCAAGAGGTAACGCAATTAGTTAATAATATCGACGGCGGCGACGACGGTCTGACCGAAGTGGAAAGGACACTAAAGACGTTGAACGGTTATCACGAGGAGATACTCGAGGCGTTGCAAACCGCCTCCTCCTATCGTTCGGGGGAGAGCGGATCGGCCACGCCTCAGGACGAAGGCAGGGACGAGTCTCCACCACCCAACGGCGTCCAAGACGAAGACGGCGTCCAGTCCGGCGGACCCATTCGAATTCGCAACCTGGAGGATCTCCTGTGTCAACTGGAGCAGCACCCCGACCAGCAGCAGCAACAACAACAACAACAGCAGCGCCACGTCTCGCCCACCCTGTCCGAAGAGATTCGTCTGAGCGTGCCCGAAGCCGACCGCCAGTACCTGCTGGAGAGGAAGGACATTTCGGACATGGCCAAGCACCACCTGGAAACGGGTCTGGGTTACTTGCTCGGACACATCCAGCCTCCCTCCGCTAACACCAAATCGCCGCGTTACTCCANGTCGATGTTAAGCCTAACGAAGACTATTGTATCGTTAAAAATTATTTTTTTATTTTCTACGAACAAAATAAATATTTTGAAAAATATAAAAACAATAAAAAATTATACTTCAGAAGTTAATTTAGTATCAAAAACGTAAAATATTTGAGTAGCCCAAGATATAGCCAAAGATTGCAGCGCCACAGCACTGGCGAAAATTTACATTTGCCGACTGGAATTCTTTCGGATGATTGATCTTTGGATAATCGACGCTCTACTATATTAGCTAATCATCTTGAATTTCTTCAATTCTCCGATTGATACTTTCTCGTAGAACGTAGTCCGTCACACTTGACGGGGGACTTTCTACTTATAAAAAACTGATTGTAATGAAAACGTCAGGTGATAAAACTAATGCCGATTGTTTATACGAATGCGTTTTCATTAATCGGTATTATTTTACCTGACATCGATTAAATACAATTTTCTTAATTCGATGAGGTATTGACAGTTTCACTCGGTGATATTTCACCTCAAGACGAAATGGTATCAGTAAAACAATGTAGATGTTATTACGTTCTGCATTCAGTCATAAAATAACGACTTAATTTAACCAACAGATATTTTTTACAATAAAATTGTCATCAAACAATTGAAATTTAATAACATTTGGAATGGCATTGAATTGTGATAAAACATTTACAGAGATTTAAAAAAATAACTTTTATATTATTAACCATAATAAATAAATTAAATAAAATAAAAATCGTGTGGCGTCATCTGTTACGAGATTTTGTTATAAAAGCTTTCTATGTTGTTAATTATTATAAAATAACAAAACGCTTAATTTTGGGGGTATAGACGAGTTTTATATTAAAAAGTAGATGCTAAAAACCATTAAAATCTTAAGTCCGATCTCACTCGAGATACGACGCGACTGTTTCTCATTCCCTCGACCCTTCACTATCAAAATTTTATAGTATCGATACTCCTTATACACAAGTTACCGTGCCGAATTTCATTTCTTAATCTTTACACCATCCCGAGATGTCAACGAAACGAAATAGACGTCAACTCGCGCGCACGTAATTGTTTTACTTGTTTTTGGGTCGGGGAAGTTTCAAAACGTAAAGATTTGCAAAAAACTCGGAAGGTCAAATTTAACAGGAGTCCAATACATGTCGGGCCCCGTCCCTCACCACCCGGCAGCCCCATTGTGGGCCTGGCCAAACCCATAATGGGCTTGCAAAAAGACCACAGGGCTGAAAGAGTNGGGCGATATAGTAAAACATTATATTAAGAATAATTAGATATTTTATTCGTTATATCGTACAATAATCAAACAAATAACATTATACTAGTCACTAGTCTATTCAATGCAATACGAATTTGGCGTTAGTCTTGGCCCTCGGCATCGGAATTTTGTAGTGAAGGGGGCGACGATTCATTAGAGGTTAAGAAACACTGGTCTAGACCTTCGACGGCCAACCTTTTTCGGTCCGCGTGCCATGTTAAAGCATACATCGCTTTAAAGATGTTTTGTTGTGCCAAAGTTTTAGACTTCGAATAACGATATTTAAATAAGTTAAAGGAATACGCTTTAATTAGAATAAATGTAAAAAGGCTAATTGAAACGAGCGATTATTTATAGTGACGTGTCACAATACCAGGCTGCAATTTTTAATCATATTTTTAATTTATTTAATTTAAAACACGCTCTCCATCTCAAATCAGTAGTGTCTTGCTCCCGTACATCATACTTTTCCTTTAACAAGTCATCTATTTACTGGTAACACCTTTCGTGAAAATTTTTTGAATTGAAAAACGTGACTTTTGGTTTGCATGGGAAGTTAGTACTGTATATACGAGGGCGGTTTTTCACCTCCGAGAGTCCATAAAACAAAGACAAGTGTAAATAACAAAATGAATTTATTACTAAAAGTTAGGTACAAACATGGTTACTTTTCGACATAATCACCGTGAAGATTGGGGCATTTGTCATATCTGTTGGCGAGCTTCGCATTCGCAATCCCCTCTTTATAGAACGTTGCCGCCAGTGACTCGAGAAGGGCCTTAACATTGTTTTGAAGATAGTCATTAAAATCTCGAACCTCTGCCCTCCTAGCCACGTTTTCAGTTCAGGGAAGAGGCGAAAGTTTTCATACGTTAAAGGTGTGTGAAGACTTCCTCCCAACTTGGAACTTTTTAAACACCAAGTGTATAGCACCGATTTAGCGCCGAGCGACTTCCACCTCTTTCCTGAACTGAAAACGGGCTAGGAGGGCAGAGGTTAGAGATTAATGATTATCTTCAAAACAACGTTAAGGCCCATCTCGAGTCACTGGCGGCAATGTTTTATAAAGAGGGGATTGCGAATGCGAAGCTCGTCCACAGATATGACAAATGTCCCAATCTTCACGGTGATTATGTCGAAAAGTAACCATGTTTGTACCTAACTTTTAGTAATAAATTTATTTTGTTATTTATACTTATCTTGGATCATCGGAGGTTGAAAAAAACCGCCTGCGTAGTTAATCGGAGCCTCTCCTAAGGTTTCGTATCTGGTCTCGGGTTTCATCTAACTTCGATCTTGAGATTAAGGAAAGACGGACAGACAGACGACAGTGGGAATTTATAGATCTACAATTTTTTTTCAAATTGCAGTCCAAAGAGGATGATGGGGTGATACGCCGAAAGGACGATTGAGCCTTTACTTCCGTTCCTCCAGCGTAGCCTTACGGCAGACGGGCGGGTGGGTGGTCGTTGGCCCTGCGTATTATCCCGGGAGGTAGTTACCCCGCGGAAACAATACCGTCCATCTGTAGTCCGAGGGTTGACCGACGGATGAAGGCCGGGTGGAAAACCCCCCATCGTGGAGGACGGCCTACCCTCCCCCGGTATAAAAATACCCAGACCGTAGTCGAAAATTTAATCTAAGTAGAGGCCAAAAGGTGGGAGTAACAAAAACGAAAAGGAAAAACTTTCTTGTGTACAGTACATTAAATCAAGATTTTACCGTAATTAAAATACTGTAGAATAAGATAGATTTTATATTAATGTTTTTCCGTTTAGTCGATAAGAATTTACTTTTATACCGTTTTAATTGATTTCATGTTTTCTTCTCTTATTATTTATAAATGTTTATAATTTTAAATAAAAGTTTCCNTATATATGTTATGGACAAAGTGATTAATCGGGCATTATGAATAATGACCAAAAAGGACGCGCAGTGTGATAAAAATTCATTAATTTGTCAAATTGACCGGTCATTATGAATACTGCTATCACCTAGTCGGGCAAAGTGGTGATAATACGTTGAAAAGTTATCATCCGACATACGCTAGCCAATTGGCACTCTGAGTTGCTGATTGTATTGTGTTGAGTGCGTATTGCGTTTAGTATTGAATTTTAAATTGTGCGACATTTTAATTTGATTAAAAAAACTCCATTTATTTCACTTAGAAATATTTATTTTTTGTGAATTATTTCAAAGTATTTAAAAAAACATGTAATCTTTTAAAACTAAGTACTATTAACTATATTAATTAAATGGTAAAATTTTACCTATGTGAACCATAATGGCGGCAGTCGCAACCGTTTATACTCCCGACGGATTCTTCNATCAAGATTTTACCGTAATTAAAATACTGTAGAATAAGATAGATTTTATATTAATGTTTTTCCGTTTAGTCGATAAGAATTTACTTTTATACCGTTTTAATTGATTTCATGTTTTCTTCTCTTATTATTTATAAATGTTTATAATTTTAAATAAAAGTTTCCTTTCAAAGTTTGATTTGTGGTTTTTTTTTTTTGTTTTGGAATTAATTTCTTCACTTTCTTTGTTGTCAAATATGGACTTAAACTTTTCCTATATTTTATATCGTTTCGTTGGGTGCAGAGATAAATGCAAACTTTTCTCCCGCGTAAAGGTCGGGTGACGGGAAAGTCCGCACCCTTTCCCTTTCCCTTTACGGTCCGGCTTCCCCTTTCTTCATACTTGGACGAAGATGGTGCCCGGGAGTCGATCTCTTCTTTCCGGACCTCCACGGACTTTGCGGCGTCGTTTCCCCAGCCTCCGGCTCCACGAAAAAGACTGGTTTAGGACTGGGGGAAAAGGCGACGGAAGACAGACGTTTGTAAACTGCCTTTTAAAATGTGCCGAATAAAACGGAGTCGGCCCCTCTCCCCGTCCATCGGCGTATATACCTTAGCAAAAAGGTAGGAATGCTGGCGGGCTCCGTTACTTGCCGTTGGATAGCGAGAAAGGTTTCGGTTTTGCAATTAACTCTGCACCGGTCCTTATTTTTTTTTTTCCTCCCAATATTTTTAAAAGGTGCGCATTGTTCCTTGGTCGTAATCGGTAATTAGGTAAGTCTGGTCGGCCGTTTACCTTTAAAGTCGTTAGTAATTACGGAAATTTTTCCTCCCTTTTCTAATAAGTCTCCCCGTCCCATTCATTAATCCGGAAGAGAAGAACGCCGGAAGCACAAAAACTACTCTCCCGCGGCCGTTTTACTTTCCGTCTTGACGCTTCCCTCCCTGCGAAAATCCGTAAAGGAAGGCTTTCTCGGCGGTTTCCCATGTCCGACCTCTTTCTTACCTGCCAACCAATTTCGGTACCGTGGAGGCGGAAGGCCCTGGCCGGGTCGAATACTGCCCGGATGCCGGAGCCACAGGTAATCTCTTAACCTTTATACTTATTCGTCGGACCCGAGAATCGGTTTATCGACGCCCGCTCGGCCCTAGGAAATTCCGTTTGACGTGGGCGGTGGGAAGAGTGTGAAGCTGTTCCCGGTTCCGAAAGACCGGAGGTCGGCTAAAGGAGGAGAGAAGGACTCGTCGTTTTCCGGTGGTCTTCGTGGGTAAAACGTTTATATCGGAAAGGAGGAAGAAAAGTCGGGGAAGCCGTTCGTTCGTTTTCTCTTCAGTCGACGACGGAAGAATTTTATTTTCGGAGGAGACCCCGGAGAAATCGGCCGTCCGTGCCCACACGGATTCTCTCCGTTTTTACTTCCTTACTGGTAGGCTACGTTCCGAAAATTCCCTAAAGACAGCGACGGGAAAATAGTACCCGGCCGGGGGAAGTCTTGCTTTCGTCGGTTATCTCCCCTTTCTTAATATGAAATTGTATTTTTACCCACCGCTCTCTTCGTTAAGACGTAGACCGTGTCACGGGGTCCCTGACCTTCGGCCCGACGGGAAACCCTGCTTGCTTTGGCGCCGGACGAAGTAAAGGCTTAAAGGGGACGGCGGTGGCCCGAGCATCGGACCACCGCTGTCCCCTCCTGGAATTTCGGCGCCACAACTTAACGTCGGCCTCGGCCCCCGGCGGGATCCCGTCTCGTTTGGGGTGGGAGCGAAATCTGTCATTTTTAAATCCTCCGCCCGGGTTAACGAACTTTCGGACGGTCCGCTAACGTCAGGTTAAAATTAATGTCGGGAAAAGGAATAAAGATTAAATTCCTTTTCGACCGATCGAGGAAATGAAAGTGCGAGAATTACTAGGAAATAACGAGGTTAAAATTTCCGTAAGTATTCTAATTTTAGAAATGAAAATTAGAATTAAAATTTTTATTATCTAAATATAATTTGAGTATATTTAATTTTATGTGTGATAAATGAACTGGAGTTGTATTTGCTATGCTTTATGGTACGTACCTGTACAATCCGTGTGTACAGTACCTACGATCGACGTCGGGAAAAAGTTAGAAAAAAACAAAATTAAATTTTCTTTGAATTAAAAAAGAGAAAGAAACGAGAAATTTTGGCAGTTAAAAAGAAAAGAAGGCAAAGTTGTTAAAGATTTATTTAGAAATAGATATTGTAGCTGATGCAAGCAGGGTCACACCCTGTTCAATTTTCACGCATTCATTAGGTTTGATGTTGGTCAAAATTCTGAGACAAACTGAAGCGCAACAGGCGGGATTGACTTCTCTGTGACCCCATGTCCTGCAGGGAAGACAAATTGCAGGAGTTGAGGCGTCAGCGTCGAGAAAAGGATTCGGAAGAAGGAGAGGAACGAGAGCCCACCGACGAAACTTCCACTTTCATCGAAGTGTCGTCGAACGACCTGTCGAAAACACCCGAGAAAGGAATACTGAAACACCAGGAGAAAGACAAGTGGAGCGACGAAGCTTCTCAGTCGGACAACCAAGAGGTAACGCAATTAGTTAATAATATCGACGGCGGCGACGACGGTCTGACCGAAGTGGAAAGGACACTAAAGACGTTGAACGGTTATCACGAGGAGATACTCGAGGCGTTGCAAACCGCCTCCTCCTATCGTTCGGGGGAGAGCGGATCGGCCACGCCTCAGGACGAAGGCAGGGACGAGTCTCCACCACCCAACGGCGTCCAAGACGAAGACGGCGTCCAGTCCGGCGGACCCATTCGAATTCGCAACCTGGAGGATCTCCTGTGTCAACTGGAGCAGCACCCCGACCAGCAGCAGCAACAACAACAACAACAGCAGCGCCACGTCTCGCCCACCCTGTCCGAAGAGATTCGTCTGAGCGTGCCCGAAGCCGACCGCCAGTACCTGCTGGAGAGGAAGGACATTTCGGACATGGCCAAGCACCACCTGGAAACGGGTCTGGGTTACTTGCTCGGACACATCCAGCCTCCCTCCGCTAACACCAAATCGCCGCGTTACTCCAGACACGTGACGCCGGAAGAGGAGGAAGCGGACGACAGCGCCGACGACGACGACGAAGGGAGCACCTTTTCGTCGCATCACCTGGTGAGGAGTGCCAGCGAGGAGGCTCTGCCGGTGACGGGCAAGCCGGGCCAGCGCCAGCCGCCGGAGGCCGTCAAGCGCGACGGACGCGACTATTTTCCCAGCCCCCCTTCGGAAGACTCGTACGCCAATTCGTCGGAAGACAACGCTTTTATTCCTCCGCCTTCTTCTTCCGCTCCGAGGCCCGAACGAACACAGAAGTCTCAGCCGACCACACCGACTCCTGCACAGAGCACGGCTCATCCGGCGGGGGTCAAACGGAAAGCCAAGAAGAAGTTCCCCGAGTATAAAGTGTAATCGAACTCTTTTTAGATAATTAGCCTAGGACAAAGCAGAAACTCTTTGGTATTTCACTAATCTTCTCTTTTTTCTTAGTCGTCCCCTTAGCCACTTTCTACACCCGTCTGGCCAGAAACTAGTGTCCCGTTCCCGTCGTCTTCACTCTCATCACTGGCCCGGTTTCTTCTCTCGATCGCTCATCGTCATCTAAAAACAACCGTCGCGTCCGACAAAATGTCTACCCCACCGGCCGCCTGCCTAATTTTTCCTCCTTTCTCGCCTGCTTTCTCCTTTAAAAACTCGCGCGTGACGTTTCACCGCACCGTTTTTGTATTTACTCGGACGCGGCCTCCTCTTAATACGGAAATGGCCGAGTGAAGCTTACGCAAAAGTACACTCCACTTCTTTCTTTGAAAATTTAGCTGTTAAATATGCAAGTTTTCTTGCGCCTTTCCCGTTGGGAATGCCCAAACCAAAATTCGATTTTTCCTAAACGTTTTCTAATTTTTATTATGTAAAAAAAGGCAGAGAAAAAAGTCTGGGTTCGGAGTGGAATTTTCTAAAACTTCTATTCGTTTACCGAAAAAAATAAAGCGTTACACACCTGAAGAACAGCTCAAAAATTAGCCGACGTCTATTAAGTAAAAAAAATCCCAGATTCTACGGCTTAAAAAGGCAAACTTTTGAATTTAACAGGTAGAAAATCGGTTTCCGTTTTACCAAATTATCAAATTAGGGGTTGTCTTTTATTATTTTCCGTAAAATTTAGCATTTTAAGTGTAATTTTTACCTAAAATGTTGCGTGTAAATGCAATAAAAATAGGTGCGAGTGAACGGCCGAGTGCGAGAGATTAAGCAGTATTAGTGCGAGATGTCCGTTTAGACGGTGGATAAAAGGGTCCCGGTAGAATTTACCGTCTTCCACTGCCCGTTTACGTGCATACTTACCGACTACGGAAGTTCGTTCTCTACTCATTTTACGCGTAACTTAAGATCGACCCGTTTACATTCCGTTACCCGCTACCTTTTTAACACTTACTCCTTCGATTAAATCGCTGTGATAGTTCTAGATAAAATATTTTAAAAGAAGTGTAAATAGGTGAACGTGTAAATATACGAACAAGTCGAACCTTCCACGCTCGGTGTCCAGAAGATCCCGGTTTGGTCGACATAGAAGAAAATACCGGCGGAACGGAAGTATTTGTAGCTTACACATGTAATAAAAGGGTATCAATCGATATTTTATTCTCGCCGGCCAAGGGGTAGACGGAAAATTCCAAAGAACTTCCTCCGGTTAAACCTACCGAATTTTGTTGGTAAATCGGCCAAGACGAATTTAAAATACGCCCGTAGACCCGCCGATTTAGTCTTTTTAAGTTTTCCTCACTCCAGAAAGAAGGAAACATCCTTTCTCGTATTACATCGCGCCATTATATTAATACTGGATCGGACCGGAATTTAGTGTCCGAAATGCCGAAAATCCAGAAAACCGTACGGTTGCGGCCGTTTAAAAAAGAAGCGAAAAAATCCTCCCAGGGCCCGTATACCCGAATCCCAAAACCACTACAGTGTTTGTTGTTAGTGTTACAACGTTTAAACTACGCCTTCCGGTTCCGGAACAGATCAAAGCTAGAAAAGACGGCCGTCGGAAGAGTTACGTATAAAACGAAGGACGATATATCGATTGATACCCATGGAAGCGTGGGAGACGGACAGAAAAAAGCCGCGGGTTCGACTCCTATAAATGTCAATTATGTCGTGTTACGAGGAAAATATAGAGAAGTCTATATACAGTATATATACATATATATATACATATATATATGCAAGAATACCAAGCTGTTCCATTTGATAATTGTTATCATATCGTTTTGTTTCATTTAGAAGGAAGAGAAACGTGTAGAACCAATCTCTTTTTGTACTTTTATTAGATGATCTAACATCAAAAAAAAAAACTTTTCTCACCTCCTCCAATCGACATAATATAAACATATATAATATACCTATATACAGTATTTCCAAAGTTCTGAATTTTCATAAAAATTAGTCATTGTAGATAATTAAACCACGACGAGAAAAAAAATCATGTTAAAAAGTCTTGGCTTTGAATAAAGTTCAATTTATGATGTTCACATAATTCTTTTGCTGTGTTTCTTGTCGCGCTTCTGTCTGGCTCACTGTACTCCGTTCTTTAACCACATTTCTCCCATACGCTTTTTCCGTAAACCATTTCGTTTCTTCTATCGTCCGCCCTTTTCGGAGGCGGGTGCAAAAGAAAAGCGCCGACACACATTTTTTCGGAATTTACGCGCGTAACGACCAATTATTCGCGCCGATTTTTCACCTTTTCCAAAAGGCGCCGACAGCTGTTCTTTCAGCTTTTCTTACTGGCGCGCCACGTCGGTACGTTGTTTGTCGGACCTCTTTTACGCTGGCGCAACGATTTCGAACCCAATTGAAACTGTGTTTCGTTCTCGAGTGTGTGTTTAAAAATTCTCCTACTATCTTAAATAAAACTTTGTCGCATAGTCACATTTGTTCTACCGTTCGGTTTCTATTATCCGATCGTAAATAACGATACTCACCAGCCTGTTATTTAAAATTATTATCGTACGTCTTTGTTTCAAAAGACCCTATAGAAATTCAAGAAGATTAGCTAATATTTATACAAATCAAATAGACTATAGTCTTGTTTTCTTTTAATGATCTGAAACCGTGCTTTAAACTTTGTCGCTGCTTCGAACACAATAAAGTGCAATAAATTAAGATACTTGGCGGTTTTTTCATCTTTTATTTAGTTGTCTAAATAACTAAATAAAAGATGCCGCCAAGTGTCTTCATTTATTGCACTTTATTGTGTTCGAAGCAGCGACAAAGTTTAAAGCACGGTTTCAGATCATTAAAAGAAAACAAGACTATAGTCTATTTGATTTGTATAAATATTAGCTAATCTTCTTGAATTTCTATAGGGTCTTTTGAAACAAAGACGTACGATAATAATTTTAAATAACAGGCTGGTGAGTATCGTTATTTACGATCGGATAATAGAAACCGAACGGTAGAACAAATGTGACTATGCGACAAAGTTTTATTTAAGATAGTAGGAGAATTTTTAAACACACACTCGAGAACGAAACACAGTTTCAATTGGGTTCGAAATCGTTGCGCCAGCGTAAAAGAGGTCCGACAAACAACGTACCGACGTGGCGCGCCAGTAAGAAAAGCTGAAAGAACAGCTGTCGGCGCCTTTTGGAAAAGGTGAAAAATCGGCGCGAATAATTGGTCGTTACGCGCGTAAATTCCGAAAAAATGTGTGTCCGCGCTTTTCTTTTGCACCCGCCTCCGAAAAGGGCGGACGATAGAAGAAACGAAATGGTTTACGGAAAAAGCGTATGGGAGAAATGTGGTTAAAGAACGGAGTACAGTGAGCCAGACAGAAGCGCGACAAGAAACACAGCAAAAGAATTATGTGAACATCATAAATTGAACTTTATTCAAAGCCAAGACTTTTTAACATGATTTTTTTTCTCGTCGTGGTTTAATTATCTACAATGACTAATTTTTATGAAAATTCAGAACTTTGGAAATACTGTATATAGGTATATTATATATGTTTATATTATGTCGATTGGAGGAGGTGAGAAAAGTTTTTTTTTTTGATGTTAGATCATCTAATAAAAGTACAAAAAGAGATTGGTTCTACACGTTTCTCTTCCTTCTAAATGAAACAAAACGATATGATAACAATTATCAAATGGAACAGCTTGGTATTCTTGCATATATATATGTATATATATATGTATATATACTGTATATAGACTTCTCTATATTTTCCTCGTAACACGACATAATTGACATTTATAGGAGTCGAACCCGCGGCTTTTTTCTGTCCGTCTCCCACGCTTCCATGGGTATCAATCGATATATCGTCCTTCGTTTTATACGTAACTCTTCCGACGGCCGTCTTTTCTAGCTTTGATCTGTTCCGGAACCGGAAGGCGTAGTTTAAACGTTGTAACACTAACAACAAACACTGTAGTGGTTTTGGGATTCGGGTATACGGGCCCTGGGAGGATTTTTTCGCTTCTTTTTTAAACGGCCGCAACCGTACGGTTTTCTGGATTTTCGGCATTTCGGACACTAAATTCCGGTCCGATCCAGTATTAATATAATGGCGCGATGTAATACGAGAAAGGATGTTTCCTTCTTTCTGGAGTGAGGAAAACTTAAAAAGACTAAATCGGCGGGTCTACGGGCGTATTTTAAATTCGTCTTGGCCGATTTANAAACATGTAATCTTTTAAAACTAAGTACTATTAACTATATTTAATTAAATGGTAACATTTTACCTATGTGCACCGTAATGGCGGCGGTCGCAACTGTTTGTTATCCCAATGGATTCCTCCCGGAGGGAAGCCGCCGATTGTTTAACGTCACTAGTTATTGATACATGTGTTCAAGAACTATATTGATACATGTTCAAGAATCAATATGTAGTGACGTTAAACCAGGGGTCGCCAAACTTTTTTAACTGTCGATCCCCAACCATTTTCCAAAACCTCACATTGACCCTCACCGTAAAGTTTTATTATAAGTGTAAGTGTATGAGCAAAATAAAAAAAAACATTGTGATATCTGTATAAGCAAAAAAAAAAAAGGTTGTAACCCATTGTCGCATCGACCCCTGGGGTCGATATAGACCACTTTGGCGACCCCTGCGTAAACAATACGCGGCCTGCCGGCAGCAGCCCTCCGTGGGAGTCCGTCAAAAGTACAAACAGACGCGACCGCCCCCAAATTCGGTACTAAACGCAACATGACGCGCAACTCAGATGCGAGTGTTGATTGGCTAGCGTATTTTGGATGATCACTCTTCGATGCATTATTATCACTTTGTCCAGCTAGATGATAGCAGTATTCATAATGACCGGTCACTTTGATAAATTATTGAAATTTATTACAATGCCCGATTTTGTTGGTCATTATTCATAATGACCGGGCATTATGAATAATGCCCATATTAATCACTTTGTCCATAACATATATATAAATTTGTATGCTTTTTAACATTTTTAATTACTAGCGAGTTAACGGGAATCGAACTATCAGGCTGCCACTTTTTTATAAAAATTTATATTTTCCAATCACCCGATTAGCGGTTACCGAAAAAATTTTTCGGGTGTTAATTATTTATTCTGCCGATTATTTGTTCGACCGTCCGCTAAGTTTTATTTGAATTGAAATTTTGGAATTTAAAAAAATATATATTTGGCACTGCAATTTCAATTCGATTCCGATTGGTGGCGCTAAAATTCGGTCGGCCGCTGGAAAGGGGCATATGTGGTTAGATGCGATAGATGGCGCCACCGGTCTTCCCTCCACGCATAGGCGAAGGCCAGCGCCCTCTGGGCGTATTTTAAGGGAAGAAAGCGCGATTACCGCCGTACCCGAGACGGAAATCCACGGCATTTACCGGGGCAGCCGTCGCCTAACCCGGCGGGAAGAGGGAGTTTTCCTTTAACCCCGGCAACTTTTCTCCTTTAATCTGACTTTTTCCCGCTTCCGGTCCGTTTCCTTTACTAGGCGGGCGCGTCACCGCCAGCCTTCGGGGCCGGAAAACCGGACTGGGAAATTTGTTTGTTGTTTTAATACAACGTCCGGTGAAGAAGGGGCGCTGAGGAGAGCCTCTCTCTACTCGGCACTTCGGTACGGTTTTATCCAGGACCCGAATGCAATTTCCATCGGCCGCATTTAATTAAATACGGCGGAAGGACGGCCGAAGTAGGTCATACCGTCCGCCGCGGGTTAAATTTATCGATGCGCGGCAGCCGACGAGGTGCGAAGGTCGCCGTATTATTAACGGGCGAAAATAGAGAGGTCTGTCGGGGGGGAAGAGGCGGTGGTCGCTTCTTTTCGTTTAACAACCGGCCGAGAATTTTCTTTCCGGCCAAAATCTCGGAATTAGCCCGAGGTGAAGTTCCTTCCCGAATTTCTTTTGCGCCTTTTCCCCGCGCATAAAATAGCGCTTAATTAAACTCTTGCGGCACTACCTATTTTGTGCGGTTACTTTGCAGGCCGCGTCATCTATATTTTCCTTTTTGGTCCGGTAAAGAATACCGTTATTATTAAAAGACCCTCCTAAAGACGGTATTAACCTTAAGAGAATTTGAGCTGGAAAGTAATTTCCGCTTCTACTGCCCCCCTTTTCTTCCTTAAAATTGCCCCGTTCGTCGATTCCCGCCGTTGAAATATACTGTAACTGGCCTTTCCCACCCTTACCGTCTCCATCTCTAAGACGACCATTCCCTTCTTAACTACATACGAATTAATAGACCGCTGGTCCGAATTTAACCCGCGTAAAAAAAACTCTGACCAGGCCTTGCCCGTAGAAAAAACCCGCGGACATTTCGTTTTGTTTTCGAAACGTCAAGAAGGTGGTCGACCGTCGATTACGGGCCGGGGGAATTAATTATAAAAATGGAAAGTGGAGGAACGAGTGGCGACGTATTTGGGTCTAGGACTCGGCGATAAAAATAAAAGTGAAATTGGGTCAACGATCTCGCCGGCCGGCCTTCCCGCCAGAGGGAAAGTCGCGCGGCCTCCGTCGCCGTATTTAACTCTGGTTTTTTTACTTAGTGGCCGCGAAGAATTGTCCCTTCCTTCTCCGGCGGTCGAATCCTTTTCGGCGGAAAATTCCATTTTACCCCAATTTAAACCCGGTGCTCCAGATTTAAAAGGTTAATACGGGAAGTGCCTCGGAACTTCCCATAGCTGCGTCTTCCGAAAAGATGTCAAAATGGCCGCGCCCAGATTCTAGGCTTAGAAACGGCTGGGGTTTAACCTGGTCGTCAGGAGACGATTGCCAACTTCAAAATATAGCCTGGGGAATGATGAATCCTCGACCACCGCCTTTACCGGGCGTTTCCGCCTGGCCCAAACAAAACACAGACTTTGGCTTCTTTTCTTTTGACTTTTAATTTAATATCGTTTTTCTTTTAAATTCGAAATTTCTACGCCAATTTCCATTGGCCCGGACCCGACGTTTAAACCCCGTCGTTTCCAATATATACTTTTATCGTTTCTTTTATTTCTCATTTTATTTTCTTAATTTTCGCCTGGGCCGGATGGCCGAGCGGTCAAGGCAGTAGCTCACCGCTCTGGGGGACCTGGGTTCGAATCCGAACGGGTCGACGGTTCGGATATGTCGGGCCCCGTCCCTCACCACGCGGCAGCTCCATTGTGGTCCTGGCCGAACCCATAATGGGCTTGCAAAAAGAGGCCCTCTTAGTGCCCACAGGGCGGAAAGAGTTTTAAAAAAATTTTCGCCTAATTTCCTACCCGATTTCGTTCCATTCCAATCTATTTTTTGTCGAAATTTCGTTCCCACTCTTTTAAATTATCTTGAATTTCCTGTTACCTCTTATTATTTCCTTTCGCTCGATTTTTCCTAAATTTCCTTGGCCTTTTCTTAAATTTGTCGTCGATTTTTCTTTTAATTTTATCCCTTAAATTTTACTCCGGTTTTTTAAACCTTCAAATTTACTGTCTGCTAAATTACGATAATTAGAAAAGTGCGCTTTATTTCGTTACGCGGCAGAATTTTCCGGCTCGGCACGACCCGACTTCGGTCCAAATTTCTTTCCCCTTTCCTTAACGATCGTTTGCCGTTCGACTATTAAAAGAGGGGCAAATTACAAAAATGCGGTTTGTCCGTATTGCGACTACCGCTTTTGTAATAAAATACTTGTCGATAAACGAAAGGCCTACGTAAAGAAAGCTATTTTCGAATTTCCCGTAAATTATCAAAGCACATTTGTCCCTCTGCAAGCGGCCTTTTACGCCACCGACTGACCTTGGCCGAATATTCCCTTCCCCCCGTAATTTGTATTATTTATAAACGAACGTACTTTACATTAATAGCGGTTGTGTGACCCGATTATGTTCGCATCGCGACAAAGTGTTTCTTTTTTAAAATGTTGGTTTTTTTTATGTTATACGCTGCTCTAACCATGCAATAACTCTTTAATAAAGAGAAGTGTCTTTGAATTAACCATGAAGAGCATTTTCTTCATTTGTCTGGAGAAATCTGCAATTTTTCATTTTATTCCATTGTCTAACAGCCGAAGAACCACTTTTAAATGAATTTTGGTAGGTAAAGGGCCATCTCTGCGCGGTTTTGTACTAATTGAACGGATGGGATTAAATGAATATTCAATTTCGGCGTCTCGTTACTACGCTAAAAGTCAGTTTTTGATAAAGCTTAAAACACTGGAAAGTGTATCGTTTTACTCGGAATTATATGACAATTGTCGGTCTTCACGAAATTTAGTAATATGTTTTACTCCGTGATTTATTAGATAAGGAAGCAATGGCCACTTGTTCGTGCGAATGGTTAATAAATTTTAATCGGATCTGACGATTAACGTGAATGACCTGTGTGAAAAGAAAGAAATTTTTTCTCTAAAATGCCGTCTTTATCGTTTTAAACTTTAACTCCGAAACTGTAATTTTAATATCAAAAATCGCAAAGTTTTAACATCTAGGAAAATAACAATATTTTTCTGTTCGGAAATTCCACTTCCGTCGCAATGTTTAGTACTTCCAGAAAGTAAATTGACATTTTTCAAATTCATTTTCGTAAAAAAACACGTACTTTTAATTTTAATTATCTTACAATTACGAAACATGGACATGATCTGTTAAGTAGTAAAATACGAATTACACGAGAAAATCTTCATCATAAAATCTAAGGAATATGCGCTGTAATTGGTAGTACTGCCACTGCAATTTATCACTGTAAATATTGGTCCGTCGGGCAGTCTGACTGTCGTAAAAATTGGCCTAAAATTGGCCACGCGCAATCCAAGTGTGCGTTAGTCTATTTACACTTGGCAACACTTGAAAGTCGGACAACTAGAAGCACGAGAGTCGGTTATGTAATTCAGAGAGGGTTCTGGAAGTCTCTCACTCGACTGCTGTCTAATCTGTCTAAGTATCTGGATAGAGGTGTGTTGTTCTGTTGTCTGTCTTCCGGCGATGACCAGTCGCAGGGTCTAAGACCCGGTGTGTCTTCTTGAAGACTTCTTTGGGAATTGTGATTTTGATTGCGGTATACGCCCCTTCTATCGCGTGCCGATTGAGATCTTCTAGGTACTCGGCCATTCTCATCTCCGTCACTCTCGAAAGCGGGGTTGATGTGATCCTCGCGACTCCTCCAACTTCCGTCGTTACTCTCCTCCCCACTTGTTCCTAAACCAGCATCCTTATCACTATTCTCCTCGCCGTTTTTTTTAGAATTCTCCAGATCGACATAAGACAGGCCTATCACATTGTTATTGTAAGTAGGGCGGGGTATGACCACAGAACCTTTACCGTTTCTAGTGGTGATATCTCCCTCCCGTGCCTGGATAAAGAAAGGTGGATTTCCGTTAGTCTCTCCCTCTTTGCTCTTCTTTTTGAAGCACACGTCTGTCAGAGACAAAAGAACTGGAAGAAGCAGCACACCGTGAAGAGCAGCGAAGAGCATCACCAAGAATACAGTTTTGAAGAAGACCAGAAACAAATAGGAGGGAGCAAAAGCCAGAACAACAATTCCAAGTATGGTGGAGATGCTGCCTTGTATAATAGGCATACCAAGAGAATAAAGAGCAATTTGCATTTTCTCGTTGGCAGTCGGTTTATCGGCCGTTATGAAAGAATAAGAAATGTGAGCCGAGTAATCTACGGAGAATCCTATACACATGATAAGATTTATCATGGAAACACTGTCCAAGTTTACTTTCCACAGGCTCATGTAACCTATGACTCCTATTTCTATCGAGACGATAGAGAAAGCCACCCAGAAGGCGCACATAGGGCTCGGTATGAAAAGAAGGGAGATTATCATCATGAGGATTGCGGCGATGCTGATGGACTGTATAGAAACGCTCCTTACTAATATGAATTGATCGAAGAACGGGAAGAGATGATGAAAGACAGAAACTTTAAAAGGAACGCTATCAGCAATGTCTCTCAATTCGATAACCATGTACTTTTCTTCATTAGCATCGGCAATATCTTTAGTTTGAGCTATGAACCGACAAGCCACGATTTCTGTAAAATTCTCATTGAAGACAATATCGTCCTTGAAATGCTCTGCAGAACGAAATTTCAGGAACACTCGTCTTAATCCTGTAATGAAATCACTCTTACTGCTCATGTTGTAGCTTTCCAAGAAGAAAGATGTTCTTGGATCCTTCAAGAAACGTAAGTAAGCCCTTAGCCACGATTCTGTTAGTGATGAATCAGCCATATATTCGCTAGCTTCGAATCTTTTCATCAGATCTTCGATTTGTTGCTGCACCTTAGGATCGGAATAATCCAGTGGTGTGTTGATGATCACCTGTACTCTATAAGGATACTCTCTAAAGTACGTGTCTTCGTACTTATAGTAAGTTACAGAGTAGGAATCGGTTCTAGACAACTTAGAACGTTCCAGACCCTCTTTCAGTTGGCTGCACCCCCATATTCCGACTGCCACGTATCCTACGAACAGAATAATAACTAGGATCTTGACGGGTATCAGGCTCAAAGTTTTTCCTACGGTGTCTCTGAAGAATCTCATCAACAAGTGTTCCTTATTGTCGTCTGGATTGTCGGGATCGTCGGGATTCACTCCACCCGTGCAGAAGATACGGAAGAAATAGTTTCTGTCTTCTGCAATAAAATATAAAAGGTGAGATAATGCAATTATACAAATATATTTAACATTTGACTTGTAAAATATTTTACAATTTTTCTTGGAAAAAAAAAAACTATCCCGCATTAAGGTCTTGACACAGGGCCTAATTTGCTTTGGATTTGGTTTGAAAATATTGCCAGATTTAATTGTTGTCGGTTGTTAGGGAATTTATAAATTATTGAATCGTAAGAAGATTATAATTGATTGAATAAAAAAAATAATAAAATGAAGTATTTAATTAAATAATTTTTAAGAGAAAGAAGAAACAAATAATCCGGANCTTACCGACTACGGAAGTTCGTTCTCTACTCATTTTACGCGTAACTTAAGATCGACCCGTTTACATTCCGTTACCCGCTACCTTTTTAACACTTACTCCTTCGATTAAATCGCTGTGATAGTTCTAGATAAAATATTTTAAAAGAAGTGTAAATAGGTGAACGTGTAAATATACGAACAAGTCGAACCTTCCACGCTCGGTGTCCAGAAGATCCCGGTTTGGTCGACATAGAAGAAAATACCGGCGGAACGGAAGTATTTGTAGCTTACACATGTAATAAAAGGGTATCAATCGATATTTTATTCTCGCCGGCCAAGGGGTAGACGGAAAATTCCAAAGAACTTCCTCCGGTTAAACCTACCGAATTTTGTTGGTAAATCGGCCAAGACGAATTTAAAATACGCCCGTAGACCCGCCGATTTAGTCTTTTTAAGTTTTCCTCACTCCAGAAAGAAGGAAACATCCTTTCTCGTATTACATCGCGCCATTATATTAATACTGGATCGGACCGGAATTTAGTGTCCGAAATGCCGAAAATCCAGAAAACCGTACGGTTGCGGCCGTTTAAAAAAGAAGCGAAAAAATCCTCCCAGGGCCCGTATACCCGAATCCCAAAACCACTACAGTGTTTGTTGTTAGTGTTACAACGTTTAAACTACGCCTTCCGGTTCCGGAACAGATCAAAGCTAGAAAAGACGGCCGTCGGAAGAGTTACGTATAAAACGAAGGACGATATATCGATTGATACCCATGGAAGCGTGGGAGACGGACAGAAAAAAGCCGCGGGTTCGACTCCTATAAATGTCAATTATGTCGTGTTACGAGGAAAATATAGAGAAGTCTATATACAGTATATATACATATATATATACATATATATATGCAAGAATACCAAGCTGTTCCATTTGATAATTGTTATCATATCGTTTTGTTTCATTTAGAAGGAAGAGAAACGTGTAGAACCAATCTCTTTTTGTACTTTTATTAGATGATCTAACATCAAAAAAAAAAAAACTTTTCTCACCTCCTCCAATCGACATAATATAAACATATATAATATACCTATATACAGTATTTCCAAAGTTCTGAATTTTCATAAAAATTAGTCATTGTAGATAATTAAACCACGACGAGAAAAAAAATCATGTTAAAAAGTCTTGGCTTTGAATAAAGTTCAATTTATGATGTTCACATAATTCTTTTGCTGTGTTTCTTGTCGCGCTTCTGTCTGGCTCACTGTACTCCGTTCTTTAACCACATTTCTCCCATACGCTTTTTCCGTAAACCATTTCGTTTCTTCTTTCGTCCGCCCTTTTCGGAGGCGGGTGCAAAAGAAAAGCGCCGACACACATTTTTCGGAATTTACGCGCGTAACGACCAATTATTCGCGCCGATTTTTCACCTTTTCCAAAAGGCGCCGACAGCTGTTCTTTCAGCTTTTCTTACTGGCGCGCCACGTCGGTACGTTGTTTGTCGGACCTCTTTTACGCTGGCGCAACGATTTCGAACCCAATTGAAACTGTGTTTCGTTCTCGAGTGTGTGTTTAAAAATTCTCCTACTATCTTAAATAAAACTTTGTCGCATAGTCACATTTGTTCTACCGTTCGGTTTCTATTATCCGATCGTAAATAACGATACTCACCAGCCTGTTATTTAAAATTATTATCGTACGTCTTTGTTTCAAAAGACCCTATAGAAATTCAAGAAGATTAGCTAATATTTATACAAATCAAATTGACTATAGTCTGTTGCTGCTTCGAACACAATAAAATGCAATAAATTAAGACACTTGGCGGTTTTTTCATCTTTTATTTAGTTATTTAATCAACTAAATAAAAGATGAAAAAACCGCCAAGTATCTTAATTTATTGCACTTTATTGTGTTCGAAGCAGCAACAGACTATAGTCAATTTGATTTGTATAAATAAATACAGTAGAGCGTCGATTATCCGAATCGATTGGGGACTGGGGTTGTTCGGAAGATCGGTGTTTCAGATAACCGATTATGTGCGAAAAAATATATTAATTTATCCTATCTTGACATTTTTCTCCGTTGCGTGTCGCTTCGCGTTGAATTTTCGTCGATGTTAAGCCTAACGAAGACTATTGTATCGTTAAAAATTATTTTTTTATTTTGTACAAANTGAATATCAGCTTGATTAGAGTTGCACGATGGCATGAGATATTAAAAGAAAAATAAAATTACGAGTCGACTGAAAATTCAAATTTTGATGACAAAATGTCTTCGATTTAACTATTCTATTCGCAATTTCAGCCGATTTAAAATAAGTTCGCACCCGAAAGAAACTATTGCCATGTTTAATTTAAGTTTTCTTAATAATTTAATTGTAATTTACGCAATAATTAATTAAACATTACCGGCATCGGTCGAAACTTGGAAAATCTAGGATACAAAAATCGTTATGAAAAAAATAAATTGAGCAATCACGAAAGATGTGAAAGAATAATTACATGAAAGAAAGGAAGATAAAGTAATGCGGAGCGTGGCAACGATATTATTTTTAGCCATTAACCCGATTTAGCCATTTATATATTGCGGACGGCCCCATTCGAAGGACTATTAATAATACTTTCTCTTCGGCCATAGATCGAATCGGACAATATCATCCTAGATTTAATTTAGGGTATTATTGCCGCACGGGAATATAAAAATATACCTGTCGGATAAATATTTGAGCATTGAGTTCGAGTTGTCCGCACTTTTTACCTTCAAAATTAATTAATTAAGCGTACGTAAAATGATATTTGCTGGCCGAACTCGTTTTTATTCCAATTTAAAGAACCTTTCTATAAAATTTTTAAATATTAAACTCCACTCTGGACGGACCACTGCGCTAAATTTAACGTTTCAAAGCGTAGATTAAATGAAATAATCGATAGTTACCGGGGTCAAAACGCGTCAAATTATCCCGGGTTTTAATACTCGTTAACCGCACTTTTTATACGTTTTATTGCATTTTATTACTGTAGATTAATAATCTCGGAATTTATTAATCAAAAAAGAACAAATACCATCCAGATAATTTTCCTTACATAAATATAATTGGCCCATTTTCTTACGCAATGCTGGGCTGTAATTTTAAATTGTATTTTTACTTTATTTAACTTAAAATATATTCTCTCCACCTCAAATTAGTAGTGACTTGCCCCCCGTACGTCATACTTTTCCTTTAACAATAGAATCGTGCCGATTATCTATCTAACTCCGTTCGGAGGAAACTTTCCAATGGAAGTAACGTGACTTCCGGTCCAGACCGGAAGTTAATATAAAGTTAATCTGGACTTCCTGTCCTAAGCTTTCCATATCTGGTCTAGGATTTCATCTAACTCCCTTCTCGAGATTAAGGAAGATAGACGGACGGACGATACTGGCAAGGTCTACATTTTTTTCAAATTGCAACCCAATTAACATATTTTTTTTTCTTATTTTGTAAATCCGATGATCTGCTGTAATTTAACTATACCAGAAATAATTTTAAATGGTAAAAACTCCATTAAGACTGGTTTTAATTACTCTTCGGTCGATGCAATTAGAATTAATGTCGTTTAACTTGCTTAGTATTGGGGCTAATTTAATTTCAATAAAAATTAGTTTATTGATTTAAATGAAATTATTACGAGTGGAATAATAATAACAGAAGGAATTAAACATTTTTCTTGCTAAAACGAAGAAAAAACGAAAACATTAAAAGGTCGTAGCACTTTCGTCGACTTTTTTTGTCGCCAGAATTTATTAATAATTAATTTTAATTCTATTGAAATTCCGTTAATGGATGTTAAACTATTTTTAAAATAAATTTGCATCTATTATACATTCAATAACATTAATTTAAATGTAATGAATATAACATAGCGTTCTGTATATATAGCCTATATGTGTTAGAAATTATAATTTTTGTTTTTAATATTGAAGCTATATCCTTTGTTAAAAAAGTATATTTTAATTTATCTGCCTTTACTAAGATATACATCTTTAAAATAAGAATATAATTATATCCGGATATATGAGACAAATGTATGCATTTACCGGATTTACTTTGGGAATGGAAGTACGCATCTTTTCACCTATAGGCGCATATTTAGCTTAAATATAACGATGTTATATTTACGCACAAAATGCACTTAACTGCTTTATGCCGCATCCTGCACGAGAAGCGTATGCAATTATTTTGCAATTAGCATTTTTTGACAATGTTTCTATTAAACAATACTCACAGTTTTGTTAAATTTCTATAGAACTTTTCCATCCTTAATTGTAAAATATACAATTAAGAAAACGTTCCCGGACATTTATTATAGAAATTTATGCGAAAATATTGATGCCGAGTGCGTACTTTTGTTTTAAAAGTTTAATAATTGATATATTATTCCGACATTTTACTCTAACGTATATAAATGCTATTTATTTATGGCATTTTCAATGATTTAACGTTTCTATGGAAAGAAAAACACGAATGTCACGCACGTCGGCACGTGGGTCGATGTCGAATTTTGTATACGGAATTCTACCGATTGAACCGATTGATGATCGACTCTGGATCGATGCTCATTTAAGCAAATGCATCGAAAGTTATTAAATATTCTAAAACTCTCTTTAATGGGAATTATGCAAATTATTAAAAGTAATTATAAAAGTGCATTTATTTCCTTTCGGATGTTATATTTAATATTTC